AATATAGAAAAGCTGAAAGAATATATAAATAACCTTCGATTTGAACTAAGAGTTACAATGAAAAGATACATAATAAATATTAGCGACTTTTTAAAAGCCACTCATTTTCATTCTTTTTCTTCATCACAAGTACTAATCCTTTATTATTTAAAAATACACGCAAATAGAGACACACATAATTCTTTATTTCGGTTTTTGATCTGATGCAGCTTAGAAAGGCGAAACGCATGATCATATCTAATTTCAATGAAACGCTTTTCAATTTGTTGTATTTCTTCATATATATCTATCTATATTTTTGTAACTTAGGGAAGGTTACTGAATAGAATAATCAACCGAGGGTTGGTAATGAATGATAATACTTAGGACAAGAACAACACATATAAGATTCGCCATCGGCGCGTAGAAGAAGTAATCAACTGTTAGAAGTGAATCAAGTGAATTCCACAATGAATCTTCCAATGCAGACCAACATACAGCATTTACTACTGTATTTATGTGAATGGGGACATACCCATTATTGTCCATAGGTATGCTACTACACACACGCGCGTGCGCGCGCGCGCACACGCACACACACACACACATATATATATATATATCGAAATGCTTAATGTATGTCAATTTGTATGAAAAAATCCATTTCTACACATATCTGAGGTTTTTCCTGCTAGGAAAATAAAAATTGAGAAGAGTCTGCGTGTCTTCATTCACACGATCGTAAAATGTATTGGCGTCCTTGCTTTATTGTATCATGTAGTCGCCCGACACAATTTAGGTCATCTTTATACTTATTTATAGATAGACACAGGTTGTTTTTTACTTGTGTCCATAGGTAGATACAGGCTGTTTTTATAGGTGTTTACGCTTGAGTATGTTCTTAGGCCTAATTCGTGCTCATACTAGAGTGTATCGGAAGACAGGCTGTGCGGAAGTAACCACAACATACTAGGCGGGAATGTGAATTCAGTTCACCGATTCCAATCCCTACGCCTATAACAGTTACGCTACTCATATATTCTTTCAAGCAAATATAACACAGTACATTTTAAAATTGAGCATTAGCCTGTTAACACTGTGTCAGTCCTTACTCTTTGCTTGTGGCCTTGTAAAAATTATTCTGAATAAGTTAGTATTAATTATTATTTAATAACATTTAATAACATATTATTGCTCCGAAACCGAAACATCAACTGAAAAATTCGAATCATGTTCTTAAATAGCGTCGTCAGATCGAAACTTTCATATGGATGTCATGCAAGGCACACAGTGGCGACCCCAGGGTCGAGCTTGTCGGGCTTAGTCCGAGTGAGTCAACATTCAAGTATATCTATTTCAAAGCAACATAAATTTTTTGTAGAGCTTCGTTTTCATTTCTTGACTTCAGATGGATCAAAAATTAATTGCATTAATATATAAAATATTGACCGAAATACATTTCGCTGATATTGTTCATAATAAAGACGAAAGAAAGAAAACAAACAAAGTAAGCAAAAAAAGAATGAAATAAAATTAAGTCGGGGTGAGTAGGTCTGAGCCTGATCGAAGCAGGAGACATACTTAATAGGCAATGTATTTCTTGCTTTAATTTCATATATAATTTTTTTTTAAAATCTCTAATGACTTGTATGCCCTATTTTTCAAAGAACACATTTTTATTTCAACTTGTTTTAAATGTTCATTTTAAATATTTTATTCCGTCCAGTATAAGATATTATAGCGGAATGTATCTTTTGAGAAAGAGCAAATTAAATTTAACCAGACCTTAAATTCGGCGAAAATCAAAGAAAATGGCAGCCTTAAATCGTTGATTGGAGGATTGGGTGAGGAGTGTGACTGGGGTAATGTCGAGGAAATATAATATCAGTCAGCAGTACTGATCATAAACATAGAATAAAATTCACAGAGAGATGCATAAACAGACTAACGCATAGGCATATATACAAACACATACTAGAGATAGATACACACATTATTTAAAGAAAAAAACCAAACATATATGGCTTTGTATTCACTCTTTTTTTCTTTTACGTTTGGAATTTAAAAAGAAATGTTGATTTTTATAGAATTATTACAATTAATATTAAAATACCAAATTGTGTTTTTTTTTATTTTCATGCACAGAGATTTTTAAAAATTATATATTTTAGTTAGAAGAAAGGAATCATTTTAGCATCTAAGTTATCCCAGTAGTATATTTTGTTAAAGATTCTAATGAGCTCGACAAACATTGATGACTTAGAGTGGCCACTGATGGCGCCAAACTCGTTCAGAAATATCTCTATCTCTATCGTCAGCTATATACAAAAATCAGTCCTGAGGGCCTTGGCAAAGATCATCCTTCTTTGAACATTGTGGACTGGCGCTACAAAATCAGAAAAAAAACTGTACCAAATAACAGAAAGTACATCCCTTGAGGACTACCAACAGCATCAACAAGTAAGATAGTTAGCATGTGTAACTCGAAGAGAAAATAATGACATAATGTTAACAACCACTACATCAAGTAAGAAGTTAGGAAGGAAACAACCCATCAATACTGGAAAGAGCTGGAAAAAAGAGCGATAACAGTTACTGGACTTGAGAAACATGTTTTCCCAAAACAATTGTTTTAAGAGAAATTTTTTATAAATTTCAACCGAAAACAATACTCGGTCAATGAATGCCAAATGTTTCCTTGTAGGGAAAGGACTAAATTTTATCATTACTGTAGAGTAACAAGAAAATGCAACAAAGGCAGCTATTTCCAAAACTATCTGATGACCTTCCACATATGGCTTTGTCTTTTTGCCAGTCTGAGCTCAGATAATTAAGGCGATTATTTCATCTTTATTCAAAACATGTGTTAAATAGCCGGGTAGTATTGGTTGTCTAGCCTTGGGTGTTAACCAGTCTAGTTGTAAATTCAAAACCGTGGAAAAGGCATCGAGTAGTCAACCTATTATCTTTCCAAAGAAATCATGACAATTCACAGATAATGAAGAAGAAAAAAATAGAAAAATAAGTAAGCCAAAGAAAACTTCCAAAAGCTAAGCAGAGTATTAAGAAACAGAAAAATTTCGTTAGTTCAGTACTCTTTTCTTTGTTTCTTTTACGTAATACCAGTCCTCCAATATGGTAGTAAATGCTGGACCATCTCACAGATGAAGGAGAAACTTGAAGCAACAGAAATGTTGTTCTACAGAAGGATGCTGAGAATACCATGGATCGAACATGTGAGCAACGATGAAGTTTTAGAGAAAATGGAAACAAAAAACGACTTAAACTTAATATCAGAAAGAGACAGGTGAAATTTTTAGGACACATAATGAGGAAAAAGAACTTGGAAAATTTGATACTCACAGGACAGATTGAAGGCAAGAGGGACAGGGGAAAACAACGCAGTACTTAAATGGATTGCAGAACAAGGTTTAGGTGAGAAAACAAAAAGACAAAATTTATTAAGAACTACAAAGTACGCGAAGTTGTAGAGATCTTTGATCGCCTACGTCCTGAAAGGACAATACACATAGAAGAAGAGCCTATGACTGTCTCCATCTTGACTGAATATAGCATTAATACATCGTGTGGCCGAGTGGTTAGTACGTTTTCTTTTCGACTATGAGGACCGGGTTTCAAATCACACCCTAGTTGATTTGTCAGGAGGGTGCTATTATTAGTCTTGGCATTCGATCCCAGTATGCGGCACCTTTTGGAAAGTGCCTGAAGATCATACCACGTGTTCACCCAAGCCTTGTGAGTAGAGTAGACAAAACTTTGGAAGCCATCGATGGTTGTTCTCGCACAAAGTGACTGAGGGTTAAAATGTATTGGCGTAGTTCAAACTGCTGATCACGCTAGATGATACGCTATCTCCCAGAAACTGTAAATAAGATTCGCTTAGCATAGTTGCATTATAAACTACAAGTAGGCTCTGTGGGTGTTGAAGAAACACAAATGAGACTGAGCACGCGTCTGCAACAGGGATTAGCTAACTGCCTAAGCAGACGGGTGATCTCCTTTCTGAGTAGCGCGGTCGTGCTGGTGATGTTGTCAGATGACGTCGATTTGGAAATAACATTGAATTTAGAGCGACGGAGTCTTTAACTGTTTATATTCGTGATCTTATCCACTGGATTTCCTTTTCTTGAATAAGCTTTTAGCACATTTTTATTTCTTTTTGACTTAACGTTTGCCATGTTATTGTTCGTCTCAACACTAGGTTTCCTCCCATTTTGACAATTTCTTTCGTAATTTTGCGCCCGAGAAACGTTAAAGCGAATGGTCATTGTCATTCGAACGTCATGGTATCAGAACAAAGAGACAGCAAATAAAAAGAAAAGAAAAGGGGGCGTCAAATTCACCGAATTAGAGCTAGTCTAAAACCGGAGACAAGTATGTAAATCCCTTCCAACCCCGTCTCAAATCATGACTGACTTGCTTGCCGTTTAAAATTTAATAATAAAGTCTTAGAGGCTTACGGTCACATTACATTGAAACACTGATTCCCGTCCGATCTCAGAAGTTAAGTAACGTAGAGCCTGCTTAAGTCTATAGGTAAGCCTTGACCGGGTCTATACTTGAGTCTATAGGTAACCTTTATCGGGTTTATACTCGAGTCTATAGGTAAGCATGGATCAGGTCTATACTTGACGATATAGGTAAACCTTGATCTGGTCTGTACTTGGGTCTATAATTAAGCCTTGGTCGTGTCTGTACTTGAGTCTATAGGTAAACTTTAACCGGCTTTATACTTGAGTCTATAGGTGAGCCTTGATCGGATCTGTACTTGAGTCTATAAGTAAGCCTTGATCGGGTTTGTATTTGAGTCTATATGTAATACTTGATCGGGTCTCTACTTGAGTCTATAGATAAGCCTTGAGTGGGATTATACTTATCTGTATGTAAGCCTTGATCGGATCTGTACTTGAGTCTATATATAAGCCTTGATCGGGTTTATACTTGAGTCTATCGGTAAGCCTTAATCCTGTCTATACTTGTAGGTAAACATTGTTCGGGCTAATGGCCATATCACCCTGAAACACCGGTTCCCGTACGATCACCGAAGTTAGGCAACGTCGGGCCTGATCAGTACCTAGATGGATGGCCGCTTGGATGTGCGGGTAGTGTAATGGATTATGGCTCGGAATTATTTATCGAAGGGCTTAGCTCCAATTTCCCTTGGGTTCGTTATATTCATTTATGCCCAAATAGCCTTGGGAAAAGTATGAATCCACTTCTTTCCCTCAGCTATGGGTTAATTAGTAAGACTAGAAAGTATTACTAAAACCATTATTATCTTTAAAAAAAATCCTATAAAATATTTAGATTTAGGCTTTAAATAATCCATGGAAGTTGATAAGCCGCTAAACAACCAACAGTGCAGTCGTTATACGGTTACCTGCGCGAAAATCCAAACTGCATTCATTTCTTCCCAGCCCTAGCTATTGATTCAATAGCAATGTGAATATCAAATTCTCTCAGCCCCCTTTCTCCATTATGTGCCCTAGTAATTTCAAATTTCTCTTTCTGAATTCTTGATTGCTTTCGTTTCCATTTTTCTGTTCAGGCCATGATATTCGTAACATCATTCTGTAGAACCGTATTTCTGTTTCATCAAGTCTTTTCTTCATCTGTGAAGAGATTGACAGGCATTCACTGCCATATAGGAGGAATGATATTACATGCCATTTCAGCTATACTTCTAGCGTCTGCATCTTATCATCTCGTATTTTTGTTTGTAGTCTCTCCTCAGTTGGAGTAGATAGGTTCGCCTATCTTTCGGTTCACACTCCTCCGCAGTCTTTTGAACAGGAGTAGAGGTTCATCCCCGGTTCCCTGTAAATCGGATTTCCTGTTCCTTCTAAAAATCTTTCATTCTCTTTCATTTCCAGTAGCTCCTTACGTCTTAGTGACGTTATCACCTTTGCTTCGGGGGAATTGATTAAGAAAAATAACAGTCATTTCTTTGTTTCTAATGATTTTTGTTCCATAATGCTTTGTTTACAGTTTGGAAGGCATCTTTTTCCTATTCAACAGATCATAAAGAAACGGAAGCTGTGGAGAGTTCAAAGGTAGTCTAAGGCGTTTGAGTAAATATTAATTTACCTTCTTCTTAAGTGCAATATTACTTCAGAATATAAGTGATCATGACTATTCACATATATCTATAGCCTGTATCACCATATTTTTTGTAAGTTCATTCAAGATGTCGGCGATTATGACTATCCACAGATTCCTTTTGTTTATTATCTATGAATTACCGTACCATCTTGCCATAATTTCGCTGTTAGGAATTCAGTTTTATTTCGCTTAGACCGATTGTCACACAAAGCTAGAGGGTCCAGTCTACCCTACTATTTTACCAGTTATTCTTATGAGAATAAGAATAATTTTTGTTGCATTTTCTTCGATTTCAAGTGTAGGATTGTCCTTAGTTTAGATTTATTGCCCACGTCTGCACTAATTTAAAGTCATACCTCAGTTTCGGACGGAAATATAGGGATATATTTTCTAAACTTCACTCAACGCAACCACTTTCAGAATTACAGGAACAGAAATCTTGCAGTTTTGTCTAGAATATCACAATAAGTTGACAGAATGTATTAAAAATACCAACCTATTGCGTAGTTGCCATTACCTAAGTTTAACCTCGTTCGACATAAGGCCACAAATATAGGGCACCCAGTGAAGATCATATGACACGGTAATAATGGCCAACCTAACTAAATTAATAACTGTGACTCCATGCCGAGGTATCCAAGCTGAGTTTTGGCACAAAGTCACAAGTATGAAGCACCTCATAAGGATGGAACTCACTGCTTGATTGTATTGATCAGATCGACGACCTTGCTAACTGTTACCGCATGCGTAGGTGTCCAAACTGAGTTTTGACACGAGGCTACAAGTATGGAGCACCTCGTAAGGGTCGAGCTTGCTAACCGCTACCCCATGCGGAGGTGTCCATGTGTACTTTTGGCACAACGCCATAAGTTTGTAGCACATATTAAGAATAGAACTCATTACTCGCAAGTAATAGACAGGCAAAAGTGCTTGCTAACTGTCACCGAGGTGACCAAATTTGTTCGGAGTCAGATAACATTTGATGGAGCTGGTCCATTATTTCAAGTTTTCTTTTGAAGTATTTCCTCGATCAGCTGCACCTTCTCCATTTCTTTCACTTTGTCTTTTAATTTTCCTTCCTTTTTTATTTCTTTTATTTTCATTTCTTCCGTTTCCTTTTTGGGGTTTTTTCTTTTTCTCTCTTTCTCGTCTTTTTTTCTCTCTCTTTTTCTTCTTCTTGTCTTCATGTTTTTTTTCGTTGTTTTCTTCCTTTTACTTTTCCATGTCTTCTTTCTTTTTGTGTTTTTACATTTATTTTTCTTTCTCTTTCCATTCCTGGGTATGACGATAAACTACATCCGGCAGCAAGGTCACTGATCGGGATATTGGAGATTTTGAGGAGCATGGTATTACCTCTTAATGGCTGTTGTTACGAGGTCCAGCCTGACCCACAGTTAGGGTCCCAGCTATGAGTAAATTGTGAACACCCAAACAAAAATCAAATACTATAAAAGTATAAAAATACCAGAAATACATTTTTATATAAAAAAAAATTGCCAACAATATTTATAGTAAAATTAGCAACAATACCTTGTTACATAGTGCGATGGGTAAATGGTCGCCATGTTATATTTTAATTTCGCGCATGCGTGGTGTTTGTTTTTTATTTTGTCAGCTGCACAGTATAGCAGGGTCAGTTGGGCACCGTCTGTGAAAAAAAAGCACCATAGCGCAATTCACTCCGTCAGAAAATTTGGAAACGGCATGCAGTACTGCTTGGTATTCGGAAGCTTTAATACGAACATTTCAGTGTGTTTAGGTGTCAATCTGAGGACAGTGCAACCTGTACAGTAGAATTACCAATAATATATTTTATAGTAAAATGACCAAGAATACACTTTATCTGTGGCTGAAGGCATACAGCTACGTTCAAAATATTTAGATTTCAGCATTAAATAAACCATAGCGGTTGATATACCGCCAAACAAAGTTAACCAAACAACCAAAATGAAAGAACTCTTTCATAACATTAATCCATATAATATCCTACAATTTCTTAAAGAAATCAAACTTTATTCCAAAATATAACGTCAACTAAAATACAACATAAAACATACGCATCACGCCTCTAGTAATTATGCCCACAAAAACATGTATGCGTATCAGCTACCATGTATTCAGTTGTGAAAGCAGAATAACATATATCATTACTTCAAAGCTGCCAAGAAAATTAAATTTCGGCATTAAATGACCCATAAGGAGTTAAATAAACAAATCAGTCAACCTTTTTCTTCCACTTCGTCACTCCGATATTTTCTTATTTCTTTTCTTTCCACGTCGGTCTTAATTATTTTTATACATTTTCTTAGCAAAGATGGTTTATGCTAATTTATGCTAATTAGTTATATTAACTTACTATGGGGTTTATATCGTATTATTTGCTATTGATCCTGTGTCTGCATATCTTTATTATTGGAATTTTTATCTGTTTGTATAAACCATGATTTCCCAGTTAGGATTTATTAAACAAATCCCTCGAAATTTTTCATTCTCTCTAATGATTCCATATCTAGTGATATAGCAAATACTAAAAGCATCTATAGAAATCCATTGGAAATTATTTTACTATAAGAATGCATTATAAATTATTTGAATACTAGCTTTATATGAAACCTGGAATATTATGGTTAGGATTTATTAAACAAATCCATTCACACTTTTATTCACTTTAATACTAAAACCATATATAGAAATTCATTAGAAAAACAAAGCAGTTGTCACTGATCAGGTATTAAGACAAAACTTCCTGATAGAAAAAAGTTGGTGTTTGCAACAGCGGCTGTTGTTGTTACTACTACTATTTTCTCTCTGTTAATATTTTCCTTTTGATGTGCACAGGTAACCTCCAAACAATGTTGCAACACCTTCATCCCCTATTTGACACTTTGCTGTACTTATCTGAGTTGAGCCAATGTTTCTTTTTTTTTTTTTTTTGTATTTTCAAAAACGTTATTTTCTTGTTTGAGCTTCTTTTAGCCTCCCCCACAAACTCCCCGCTGGCCCTTTTCCTCCTCATTCACGACTTTCAACCCATTGGCCTCTCCACATCTTATCATCCAATCTCTGATTTTTCTTTTATTCCTTTTCAGTCAGTGGATGGTCACCTTTCAACCCATTTTCCTTGCCTCCATGAACCTTTTCCCTTTGCCCTATTTAACTCGTTTCCACCCTGACTTACCTACATTAGTTCAAGTTTTCTTTGCCTCAGGATTTCTTTTTTTAACGTTTTATTTATTTATCTACGTCTCCATCAGATTCTTGCATTCCCTATCCTCCTACCTTTTTTCTCTTCACTTTATTTTATTTTTATAAACCTATCTCTTGATTTTGATAATCATTAAAAGGGTTTCCTTTTTCATTCATATTCCTTGATCTTTCGTTTGCACTGGTGTTCTTTTTTTCGTTTTTTGGCTTTCTTTCTTTCTTTCTTTCTTTCTTTCTTTCTTTCTTTCTTTCTTTCTTTCTTTCTTTCGTTTTTTCCCTCTTTTCCGTCTTTCTTTCTTGCTCTCTTCCTTTCTTTCTTTTTTTCTTTTTTTTCTCTTTTTATCTCTTCTTTCTTTCTTTCTTTCTTTCTTTCTTTCTTTCTTTCTTTCTTTCTTTCTTTCGTTTTTGCTTTCTTGCTTTCTTTCCGTCTTTCTTTCTTTCTCTCTTCCTTTCTTTATTGTTCTCTTCCTTTCTTTTTTCTATCTTTCTTTTTCTCTCTTTCTTTTTCTTCTCTTAGCGACTAGCCCTTCCAAACAATTACTATGAATGTATTTACAGAAAAGGCACAGGGAATCCACTTTGTTAGTGGGGAAGTGACTGAATCTGAGATGTTAGGTCAGGACCAATAATACTGCTTATTCTTCTTTGGATTTTATCAAGAATCTCTAAATATATATGTCATATAGGAATAAAATGTCACTGTCGACACTTGGGATTGAACACGAATCACCAGAAAGCAAGCACAGTCGAACTCATCTTGAAATAATTAAATCACGTGACGGCTTAAGGGAAATATTTATATA